GTAAGAGGGGGAGGGGGGAAGACACCGGCGTGACACTACTAAGAGAAGCCCCACTAAAGAGGACTGAGGTGTAGTAGTGCAGATGGTGTGGCGTATCAGCCCAGACCTAACGGAAATAAGTGGTGTGTGTGTGTGTGTCTGTCTGTCTGTCTGTGTGTGTCTGTGTGTGTGTGTCTGTGTGTGTGTGTGTGTGTGTGTGTGTCTGTGTGTGTGTGTCTGTGTCTGTGTGTGTGTGTGTGTGTGTCGTTTTGGTTCGTCTCTGGGATTGGTGGAGGCGATGACGTCCCCGCTACTCCACCACTAGTTTCCTACCTCACTAAGCCATCCCTCCACTCACTCCACCCTCCACTCCCTCCATCAATTCGCCCCTCCCATCCTTACTCCCTCCTTCTATTCTCCGTCAAACCATCTCCTTCTGTGATCAACTCGTCCAAAAAGATTCCTTCGTTCACGTCTCTCTCGTTAATGGGGACACAAGAATGCGTTTGTTCGCGTTAACGTCTCGGGGCGGCGCTTCTTACTCCCTGACCAATAATCTATACACAAAACAGGGTAGAGAGGGGGGTACAGTAGGTGGGGTGAGGGTAGAGGGGGGTACAGTAGGTGGGGTGAGGGTAGAGGGGGGTACAGTAGGTGGGGTGAGGGTAGAGGGGGGTACAGCAGGTGGGGTGAGGGTAGAGGGGTGGTACAGCGTATTCGAGTCACTAGCCTGAGACAGTCACACTACCACCACAACAATAACATACTATAACAACTAACACCACAACAATAACATACTATAACAACTACCACCACAACAATAACATACTTTAACAACTACCACCACAACAATAACATACTTTAACAACTACCACCACAACAATAACATACTTTAACAACTATCACCACTACCACCATCACCCGCGGCCAAGCCTTGTGGTAGGGGGGGGAGCTAATTTCGGTAATCACCACTAAAATAACTATATGACGTTATTATAATACAACCTCGTGCCACGCCTTGACACAAATTCCTCTTGCGTGACATTTTTTTCTTCGTGTGTGGGTTTGTCTGTCTGTCTGTCTGTCTGTCTTGTGTGTGTGTGTGTGTGTGTGTGTGTGTGTGTGTGTGTGTGTGTGTGTGTGTGTGTGTTTTGAGCTGAGTTGTGAGTTATGTAACCAGTGATCAAGTGGTATTGTGGTATTTGCCATTAACATTAGATTTCATGGTCTTTTAGTTGGTGGTAGGGGGGGTGATGGTGGGGGTAGTGGTGATGGTGGGGGTAGTGGTGATGGTGGTTAGGACTGTTGTTATGGAGGTCATGCTGGGAATTAAGTTATCAGCTTCTGTGCAGGAACTCCTCTTTCTCCTCACCCCCTCCTCCCCCCCTCCACCCCTCCTCCCTCATGGTGGAGGTCACTGCCACTCGCCATATGATCTCTGCCGTTGCCGCGTTGATACATAGTAAACTAGCTGTGTTGTCCGGGACTCCTTGGCCGCCTGAGTCGTATGTATCCGTGACGTCAAGACCTAATCGTCTAAATAATTATCCGGTGTGTGTGTCCGGGTTGAGTAATCACATTGGCTGACTTGTATGTGTCAGAACGACAACAGCAGCTAAGTGTACGAATTGGACATTAGTACAGTCAGGGACAGGGATGACAAGGAAGGTATAAAAACTTTAATTGTTGGTGACTCACAGGTAAGGTACTTGGACAGGGCCTTTTGTGGTAAAAACAAAAATAGGATGAGGGTGTGTTTGCCAGGAGCTGGTAATGGGAACAAACCCATTATCTGCCTCAGTGCAGGAGGCAATGATATTGGCCGGTGTAGGAGCGAGGAGCTTCTTGATAAGTTCAAGGCAGCTATAGATCGTATTAGGTCTAAGGGAGGGATCCCTATCATATGCGGTGTCCTGCCTAGAAGGAGAGTTGGCAGTGAATGGTTGTCAAGGGCGGTTGGTGTCAACGACCGTCTTGACAGATATTGTAAGTGAATATCGGTCCCATTCATTGACAACTGGGACAACTTCTACGGCAGAAGGGACCTTTATGCTAGGGATGGGGTGCACCTGTCTCGGGATGGGGTGGCAACCCTGGCTGGGTCTCTAGAGGGGGCAGTTAAAGGATATCGAAGTCTTTAAACTGCTAGGGGAACATATGGGCACGGGGGGTGGGGGAAACTGCAGTGGGAGCGGTTAAACAAAGTAAAAGATTACAGGGAAATAGTGTTAGGAATGATGACAAAACTAAATTAAACAGGGAGTTTAAAACTAAACGCGGTAAAGGGAGGACTCAGATCACAACTAACTTAAATGTCTACTACGCGAACAGAAGAAGTATGAGAAACTAAATGGATTATATTAGGGCCTTGGTATGTACCGAAAAAATCGATATAATAGCATTCACTGAAACATGGATCAACCTAGACTCACGTGAGTTGCCGGTCGAATACCAAATTGCAGGTTACAAATTGTTCCATACCGATAGGCAGACCAGGAAAGGAGGCAGAGTAGCAATCTATGTTAGGGATAATCTGAAGTGTGAAATAAATAAGGAAATAAAAACTGAGCGGAACACAGTCACAATTTGGATAGAATCAAGTCTGTATAGTAGGCGACTTTAACCTTGGCCAAATAGATTGGACTGACCATACAGGTAACTCAGAATCAGAGGATTTTCTCGAGATGATCCAGGACTGTTTCCTAAGTCAACATATAACCGAACCCACACGGGGTAATAATATACTCGAGTTAGTTCTGTCGAACAGAGAAAACCTCATTAGCAATGTCGAGGTAGGGAACGAACATGCAAACAGCGATCACAATGAAATTAGATTCCAGTTAGATTTTCAGGGCAGACGTAAGGAAAATTCCACTAAAGTACCAGATTTCAGAAAGGCAAACTTTGACAGTTTAAAGAGGCAGCTGAGAGAGGGGGTGTCGCGCTTGGCCGTGAACCTGACAGATGACTCCGAATTGATAACGACATCTGAGATTGCCGAGTTCCACGACATTTTAAATAATGAGTTACTTAAAGCACAAAGGCAGAACATACCATACAAAAAACTCAGATCAGACAACAATGACCCTAAATGGATATATAATTATTTAAAGAACATCATTGGCCAAAGGAAGGCTATAGGTAGAAGGATAAAGCGTGGCGAAATTTACCTCCAGGATTATTATAAGATATTGGCGAGTAGGGTTAAAACCGAGATAAAGAAAGCCAAGAGGAATAATGAGGTAAGGATAGCAAGGGAGGCGAAGACAAACCCCAAAGGATTCTACCAAATGTATCAAAATAAAACACGAGAGAAGATTGGACCAATACCGTCAGATACCGGCGAGTTCACTGATAACGACGGAGAAACGAGCAATAATTTGAATAAATATTTTTCAACAGTTTTCACCACCGAAAATTTAAACATGATACCCGAGGCACCGACTCTATTCAGAGATAGTGAAGAAAACAAATTAAGCGAGATAGTAGTGACTAGTAACGATATTAGTAAGCAAATAGACAAACTAAAGCCTAATAAGTCACCTGGTCCCGATGAGATATTTGCCAGAGTACTAAAGGAATGTAAGGAAGAGCTTAGTATGCCCTTAGCAAAGTTGTTTAACATGTCCTTAAAAACAGGTGTAGTACCAGAATCCTGGAGGATAGCGAATGTAATACCGATTTTCAAGAAGGGGGATAGATCACTATCCTCTAACTACCGCCCAATCAGTCTAACATCAATAGTAGGCAAATTACTGGAAGCAATCATTTCAAACTCTATTCGAAATCACCTGGAGAAGCACGGATTGATCAATGATTCCCAGCATGGCTTCACAAGCGGACGATCTTGTCTAACTAATCTATTAACATTCTTTTCATCAGTTTTCGAATCGGTGGACGAGGGGCACAATTATGATGTGGTATATCTCGACTTTAGCAAAGCCTTTGACAGAGTCCCCCACGAAAGACTAATTAGAAAGGTAGAAGCACATGGCATCAAAGGTAACATCCTTAAATGGATTAGGGCGTGGCTACAGGACAGGAAACAGCGAGTGAGCATTAACGGCACTAAGTCCCATTGGAGCAACGTCACAAGTGGAGTTCCCCAAGGCTCAGTACTTGAACCATTATTATTTATTATATACATAAACGACATAGATATCGGCATAGACAGCAACATAAGTAAATTTGCTGATGACACTAAAATAGGACGTGTTATTAAATCTGACGAGGACTCCGCAAAACTACAGGAAGATCTAAACACATTTTTCGAATGGTCTGAAAAATGGCAGATGAAATTCAACGTGGACAAATGTAAAGTACTCAGTATAGGAGATGTAAACAGGGAAACCAGATACCAGATGAACAACGATGCCATAGAGAAATCCGACTGCGAGAGAGATTTAGGAGTAATGATAAGTAGGAACCTTAAGCTAAGTAAACAATGTGTTTTTGCTCGTAACAAGGCTAATAAAGTACTTGGGTTCATACAAAGGAGTGTTAGTTACAGGACTAGCAAGGTCATCCTAAAACTGTATCTTGCGCTTGTGAGACCACACCTGGATTACGCAGTTCAGTTCTGGTCACCGTATTACAGAATGGATATAGAATCATTGGAAAGAATTCAGAGAAGAATGACAAGACTAATCCCGGGCATTAGGAACCTTGAGTATAGAGACAGGTTAAAGCATCTTAATTTGCACTCCCTTGAGAGACGTAGAGCGAGGGGCGGCCTGATAGAGGTGTATAAGTGGAAGGCAGGGCTAAACAAAGGGGACATTACAAAGGTACTCAAACTATCCAACCAGGAGCAAACTCGTAACAATGGTTTTAAATTAGACAAATTTAGATTTAGGCGTGAAATAGGTAAACACTGGTTCGGAAACAGAGTAGTGGGTGAATGGAACAAGTTACCAAATATCATCATTAACTCGAATATGCTGAATAGCTTCAAACATAGGTTGGATGCTTATATGAGCAATAGGGGTTGGGTGTAAACGGGACTGCCCAGTATGGGCCAA